CTTTTGAGGCCAAAGAGATAACCTTACAACACCCTCAAGAATATACCCCAATTCTTGAGAACACTCTTTCCCAAAGAGAAGATTACAAATTTGCAAACTTACAAGGAAAACCTCACAAGGTAAGATGTTTGCACAATTCTAGAACAAGAAAAGAACACTCAAAGATAATTACAAATGAGCACAAATGGTGTTCTTGAAAGCAAAATGAATATTGAAAGGAAAATTGGCTTGATTTGCACAAACTTGGTGTTTGATGCTTTCTCTCTTGTTTCTCTATGATTTCTTGTTGATCAAGGGCTTCAGAACTTGTTTAAATACACCTTGAATCACTTCTGAACGTTGGGGATAATTAATGAAGATCATATAGCCGTTTTAGTGTGAAAGCAATTAATAAAACAGCTTGGAGCGTGGGGGGAATCGGTTCCCCCTCATAAGGAATCGGTTCCCTAAGTGTAAAATTCAAATATTTCGACCGTTGAACAGGGGGAATCGGTACCCCCTATGGAGGAATCGGTTCCCTCCGAGCATTCTGGAAATCTCAGAGCCAAACCGTTCAGGGGGAATCGGTACCCCCTTGGGGGGGAATCGGTTCCCTCTGAGCAATCTGGAATTTTTGGCTTTGAAATGGTTCGAAATACTTTAAAAGATTATTTTGAAATTGATTTAAAATTAAAACTTAATTTTACACTTAAGTAAGGATTAAAAATTATTTTTGAAATATTTGGAGTAATGTTTTGATATTCGAATAATTATATCGAATATACTTAGAAAATCATTTGGAAAATCTTAAAATTCATTTAACTTAATTTGTTATATCGAAATATCAAAATGTTTTCAACACAAAGTATATAAAATATGTGATGGTTTCTTTAAGGCTAATATATTAAATATTATGAATGAAAAAGTGATAGACATTAGTGCTACTAAAAGGATGATTTGTGGCCTTTAAGTATACTCCTAAATAGAGAAAATGAAAGAAGTTGTCTATCCTAAGGAGTTGTTGAAATCTTTTTGTGAAATATTCGAGATAATTTTCCTGCTATAAGGAAAAGTTGAAAAACTCCCCATAATATTCATAATTCCCTAAACACTTCTTATGAAGGACTAGGAAAAACTGAAATTCATTTGAATGAACAAAGTCATAGAGGACTAAAATAAGATATAAAGAATTTCATAATCGTTTGAGATTATGAATATTAATCTTATTGATTTGTAACTTCTCAAATTTTGATAGTATAATCATCTGTAAACAATATTTGAGTTTGTTAAAACATAGTTTTATAGTTAAAACTAATAACAAACTTCACTCAAGTATGAATGAGTAAATGTGCAAGAGAATTTGTTTGCACATTATCCAAGACACTTATTGATTTATTTCTATCTTAAAATGTTAAAAATGTGGGGTGTCTTAAAATGATGATTAAAATCAGAGAGGAACCTAATTGATCCGCTTACTAAAAGTTAAAGTCGGAAAATGGTTCTTGATTCGTTGAGGGGATGAGTTTAAAGTCCATTGGTTGAGGAATTCATGGTGGATACCCAACTTAGTTATCTAAGTTCAATGTGGTCAAATGAACCCATGGAAAGACTAATAGTGTACATTTATACCTACCTATCCCTATGACGAATAATATACATATACAGGATGAGCTTAATTGCTCTTAATAAATTCATAGCCCATGCTTTGTGTGGTCTTAGTGAGAAAGATTTGATGAATTTACCGATTTTTTGGTTGAATATATATTCTTAATAAGTTCATAACCCGGTATTGAGTGGATAGTTCTAATCGCGTAGGACTAAATGAACTTACAACTAGAGAGAATGAGTTTTATTAAAACTCTTAATGAATTCAAACTCAAGTGTTTGAGAGTTCCTAGTGAAAATGACATATTGAATTCACCAATTAATGAGGTTGAATATTTATTCTTAATGATTTCTTATCCCAAAGTTTGGGTGGTTCATTTAATATGAACTTGAAGAAATTCACTATACCCATTATGAGGATGAGCTATTGAAAAATCTCTTAATTATTTAATAGCCCAGTTTGGGTGGTTTATATTGACATAAACCTAATACAATAAACTATGTAAGTGAGAAGGATTAACCACCTTCTATAAAAAAATATTGGGCTATTTTTCTAGTACACTTACTAGAATCCTAAGGAAATAGGTCTAAACATATATACACTCTTGTATATACTCTTTGTAGACTCATCGAGGAATTATATGGATGACGGAATTAGTTGTGTCTTATGAGTTCACCCTAATCTTGGAAAATTCAAGATTCGTTCACTTATCTAAGAGAATAATTATTCATTATCATTATGTACTAGTTTCAGATACGTTCACTACTGCTTAAACAATTAATCTTGTTAGTGCTCTTCTCGTGTTTTGTCTCCAATGTTCTTATTTTTACGAAAAAAATATTTCACATTTGTGGGGGATTGTTGGTTAATGCTCAATTGTAACATAATTTTAAATGCTATTTAATTCTATTTTAAATAGCCTTAAATTGTGCTTTTAAAATGATGATTTTACCCCGAGCAATATCTTTCCTTTTACATTCCAAAATAGCATTTGTTTACTTTAGAAAAAGTAAACACTCTCATAGAGTTGTTTTAAGTTGAGAGAAGAGTAGTACTATTGGAGTCTACTTCATCTTTAGAGTGTACGAAATTTAGTGAGCCGTGCTAACTTTAGATGGTCATTCGTCCATTGTAGCGATTACACACATTGAGGCGAATTCACTTCTAAGACAGTAGTTAATACTACGACACAGTTAATCGATTCTTTGTTAAAATATTTTATTTAATATTTTTCGGTTAGTGTAATGCTTTTTTTGCATTAGTCTATTTTCCTAACATTCTTACAATTGCCTTGAAAAGATGTCAGGTCTTACCCTACATCCTCGATGCTTGTTTAATTGTTTGACTTGGCAGTGGATGCTTGGTCTCTTTTCCTTTTACCAGTAAGTTAGTTAATTCAAGCTTTGTTGCTTTATTGGTGTCTGGAATTTCTATTGAAAATCATTGCAGAGTGGCCGGTTTGGAAAACTCAACAAAATCTTCCCACCGGAATGGGACCTTGGCAAAGGCGCGTAACAGTGGGATTAACGTCCCTGGTTTTTCCGATGACACCATTTTGCACGTAGAGATGAAAACAATGGTAACCCCCATTTGCATAAACCATTATTATCTTATGTAAAAAGATAGTCCCATCGACAACATTTCTTTGATATCCCCAGTTTGCATAAAGCCATAAACTTGCCCATGGAAACTAAACAGTGATGATGGTTATGGTGAGCTGAAGCTAAAGGCCAACGACAATGAGAGGCGAGGTTGAGATCTACAGAGAGAGTAGGCGGCGACAGTACAGATGATGGGTTGGTGGGAAAGTTGGTTTTAGCTTTGGAACCGCGGAGGGATTGAACGGCGGCGGCATAAGCTAATGCAGCTTCTTCCAATGTGTCAAATGTACACAACTAAACTCGCGTTTTCTTCCATGGGTTGTGTATTTCAGCGGCGTACCTTCCCAATGGCCTCTTCCTCACTCCTCTGTAGTTTCCTTCACTTGAAGAAGCCATGGGAGGGAAACAAAGAAAGAATAAACTTTTTGGCGATGAAGTTGTTAGACAAAGAAAGAGATGTGAGAAGCTAGAAAGATTTGTGTGCGAAACTAAACTGTTTTTGGTGAGAAGAAAAAGAAGAAGACCCATGAGTGATTATGGTGGTGAAGAAGAAGGACATGAGTTACACGTGGATTATTTTTATTTTTATTTTTTAATTATCAACTCAGACTTCGATTAATAGGTTAATAAACGTTAACGATCGAGAGATTTAAACCGAACGGATCGATAACGTTAGTGTTTTGAAAATCGGACCGGATCGACCGGTTCAACCGGGAATCGCTGCCTAGTCCGGTTCAATCTACACCAGTTGAACCGCTACTAGTAAACCGACCAGAACCGCTGAACTGTTCGAACCGAACCGACTGAAAACTGAAAAAAACCGCCAATTTTGTTTTGTTTTTTTAAAAATTAAACCAAACGACGTCGTTTGTTAAACGAGCCAAGTCGAACTCGAGTATTGCTGAGCTTGACTCGAACTTGAAAACTTTAAAAGTAAGCTCAACTCGACTCAAACTCACGAGCTAAAAATTATCAAGTTCAACTCGAACTCGAAATATAATATTGAAACTTGAACTCAAAAAGGCTTGAACTCAAAAAAAAAATTAGAAGCTCAATTGAAGCCTAAAATTCGAGTTTGATTGAAGTGAAAAAATAGTTTACTCAATGCTCACCAAAAGGCTCCATGATTTTGAATGTCAAATTATCTCTATTATTTATAGAAGTTAGTTGGAATGCTCTTCTATGTTTCTTAGCTATGTGGGATTATTTTGTTCTCATATTTTTACTCTTTAGACTTTTGGGATGCTCTTCTATGTTTATTAACCATGTGGGATTGTTTTAAAAACAATTAAACCAAACAATATCATTTTGTTATGATTTTTTTAGCCCCAAATTTATTTTTTGATTATAGTTATATAATTATATTTATTATTTAATATGTTTTACCTTAAATATTATGTTGTAGTTAATTTGAATCATTTTGTTTCACTTGATTTTATGGTTTTTAACTTATATATGTTATGACTTGTTTTGAATATAACTTGTGATATAAAAAAATATTTTTTATTAAATATTTTTAGTATTTTTTATTTAATTTTTTAAATAATTATGATGTCGTCCGGATCTTCCGACTGGTCGGACCGGTTCGACCGGTTGAACCAATGAACCGGTAGCATGGCCGGTTCGCTAACCGATCCGATTCTGAAAACCATGGATAGCGTAATGGACCAAGCGCATTTAATTTTAAAAAAATTAGTTACCAAAATTGATTACACTAAAAATAAAGGGGACTACTAGCATAATTTATCGAAGAAAAAAATTATAATTTAGACATTTTTTATTAATCCTAAGTTTAAAAGTATATAATAAATGGTATAGAAAAGGGGAATAGAAGAGTTTATCATTTTGTTCATCGGAAAGAAAGATATGGAGGTCTACAAATTAGAGAAGCGAGGTAAGCTCTTCATTTTAACGTTGACCGGCGAAGACGAACACCGCTTAAACCCGACCCGAGTTGACGCGATCCGGTCAGCACTTAGCCGAATCCGCTCCGACTCAAACTCACTTTCCGGTTCTGTTCTCATCACCACTGCTCACGGCAAGTTCTTCTCCAACGGCTATGATCTCGCCTGGGCAGGCTCTTCACCCGACAAGATCCGTTTATTGTCTTCCAACCTCCGAGATCTCGTCGCCGACCTACTTTCCTTTCCCATGCCTACCGTCGCCGCCATCACTGGCCACGCTTGCGCGGCCGGAATGATCTTTGCTCTTTGCCATGATTATACTGTTATGAGGAAAGATCGAGGGTTTTTGTATATGAGTGAAATGGATATCGGGCTGAAGATTTCGGCTTGGTTCATGGCCGTCATAAGGTGATTATTACTTCAGAAAATCTCATCTTTCTTTCGACATCTCGGTTGAATTTTTATGTCATTTTCGAAATTTTTTAAAGTAAAATTATAGGTTTTTCTTCCAGAAGCAAATAAGATTCAGTCAAGATTTGGATTTGGATTTCTTTATTCAAACATTCATTACCAGTTTATTGATTTCAGATGCAAAATTGGTGACTCCAGAGTACGACGAGACGTGGTGCTGAAAGCGAGGAAATTAACGGCGGAGCAAGCTGTAGAGAGTGGAATTATCGACGCTGCGTTCGAGACAGCGGAGACGACGACGGAAGGGGCGCTGGAATTAGGGGAGAAATTAGTTAATAAGGGGTGGGACGGCCAAGTTTATAGTGAAAACAGAAAGCAGCTTTATACAGAGATTTTAGATAAGCTTGGATTTGATGAAACTACAGATGATGCTAAGAATGTTGCAATTGCAACATCCAAAATGTAACAACCGTGGTGTTACTTTTATCTTTTATTTAATCAGTAGCGATTCTAGTTTTGATATTAGTTGTGGATTGTCGGTTATACATTTCTTTTTAGTTTTATAGTAAAAATAATTTTGTCTTTGTGATACGTTTATATTTACCTTTGTGATACGTTTATATTTATCTTTGTGACACGTTTATCTTTGTTTTTTGACAGTTTTCAGTTGTTTGGCATTTGTTTTCGTTTTTCTTTTTTTTTTAGGGTTAGTTTTGACATCGTCACGACTGATCAAGATGGTGTTTATTTGTTATCATGTTGGTCTTTCATATTTTGGACCTTCGGATTGATTTGGATACGCGTTTTGCGTTCGTGGATAATTTTCTAATGTAACACGACTCTGATTTACGATTTGTCAGAGGTCTTTCAGTAACTTCATCCTCTTTTATGGTTCGTTTATCAATACAATTAGATTTGTTCGTATCTTTATTTTGTTCGAACTTTTTGATTAGGTTTTTTTTAACATTTTCCTTCTTTGGTCCTTATGTGATCTAGGTAGCTAGTTTTATCTCAATAATAATAGAAAAATATCATAGTTATATTTTAGGTTTACGATTATTATGGTAAATCTTCATTGTAATTTCTAATATTTTCTATTTCTAACAAAAATAGTGACTTTCTATAACAAAAAACAAATAGGTTTAATAGTAGAAGAAAATATTATTCTCCAAAAAAAATTTAAAATTTAAATAATTATATCTTCAAAATTAATATATATTTTACTAAATTAAAATTTTTAAATTATATTATCTTAAAATATTCTAGAGTATTAAAAGAAAGTAGCAAATTCTTTTAATATTTACTATGCATTTTTTCGGTGAATTCAATGATGGTGGCTAATAAGTTTGTTTCTATCACGGCGTTATTATAAATATAAACTCTCTTTAAATATTTTTTTAGAAATAAACTTATGTCATATTGGTTAGAAAGATAACCCTAAACTATACATGTAAGATACTTCGTATTTTGTGGAAAATAAAATAAAATTTTACGTTTTACAAAAAAATAAGTTTTATACATTTATTATTATCTTTATCTAACATTAAATAATTTTATCTAAAAAAATTGATAGATCATTCACCGTATAAAACGTAAGGTACATTAAACATGTTTTATAGAACGCGATATAATCCTAAATAAACTATTTGAGATTATTTTTCTAACTAATCTAATAATATCTAATAGAGGTTTTTAATATAATGACGTATTCTATCACGGCCTCCGTAATTTTCGAAGTGAGGACAGACCATTTGTAGCCACATAAAATACTCATTAAAAGGGCTACTACCATAACCGCTTCTATTTAATTTTCTTTTTAAAAAATCTTTTCAAAAACAGTAATTTTTACGTTTTATCTTGGCATTAGGCTTTGTACTTTCATATCTTAAAATTTCCGAGGGATCTTTTGATGAGACCACAAATGTATTTTTGTTTATGCTAAAAACCATGCAGCTCTTTGATTTAAAAAAAAAACCCTTTTGGTTATTATATGGAGTAATAGAAGTTTGAGAGTACACACCTACATGAAGTAACCAAAAGACGGCACATAAAATCAAATCAATTTTTTTACTACAATTACTCATTTCATCATTAATATATTACATAAAAGAAAGATTTAACACAATTCTTTATTTTTATTTTAAACACAAAACCAATCAGGGGTGTCAGAAAACCAGATACTCGTTTTAATTATTATGTCCTAATTTAGTGAGCAGACACCCCTGGTTGACTGTTTACCGAAGGCACATGTAATATACTAGAGTTGTAAAGTTATCATTATGTATAGGAATATAATCTTTGCACTTTTAGACAGCTTGTGCTTGTAGTTTGGTGGTAAGAAAGTCACGTTGTGTCCGTGGAAGCCTTGGCTCGAATATCAGCAGCCACAGAAACTGTTACCATATTTTAAGGCGATTCCGGCTTTACTACAACTATTTTTATTATGCGTTGATGATTGATGATGCTCAACTAGGATCATTTGCCAATCTTGAACGTGCTTTTATAATAAATATAATTTTTCGTTGAATAACCATAAGTCCTATAAAAATAAAATTAAAAAAACGCCCTATTTTTTCCTGGCCTTATTATTTTGATTTTTTATAATTCAAAGACTAAATTAATAATAAAATAAAAAATGAAGATTAAATTTGTCATTATTCCAGTTAAAAAATAGGTTAAATTTTAAAAATTAAGGTAAATTATAGGATTTGTCACTTTCGTTTAAATTTTGAACACTTTTCGTCACTTAATTTAAAACCATAATATTTAATCACTTTCATTTTTATTTCATTAAGATGTGATTATATTCATTTTTATTTAAATAAAACGTGATCATTTATCTTATCGACTTTGAAATATCTAGTCACTGAAAATTTTGACTGTCGTTAGTAAAAAAATTAAATAAAAGTAATCACGTCTTAATTAAATAAAAACTAAAGTGATCGAATATTATATTTTTTAATTTAGTGAGAAAAAGAGTGTAAAACAAAAATGATCAATCATGTAATTTACTCTAAAATTATCATATGATCCTACTATTAGCTATTTAACTGTGGAACGGACATGTTCAAAGCTTAGATTATTTGTCATAGTTTGAAAGTGGGTTTTTTCCCAATGCGGCAGGCGGGTTATTTGGCCCAATAAGGCATTCCATAAATTATTTTGGGATCTATTGTATTTTCTACAGTACATGGTGAACTCGACACCTCGAGGTGACAAGTTCAATGAGATATAAATTTTTTTATTCCGTTCCTAATATTTTAATATTTCCTTTGGAACTCCTCACCTCGAGGTGACGAGTTTCACCCCCTTTTTTTTGCTCTCCAAAATATGGTTGACTATGCTGAAAAGAAAAAAATACAAACTTAGAAGATTAGCATGAGGACGTAAATAGAACTAATCTTACGAACACCATAAATATTAAATAAAATCATTAACATAGCAATATTGATTAAGAAGTTTTAATATTCTTAATCAGTAGACTTGTTAGAAGTATTACTAAGTTCTTCAATTTCCCATTCTTTTTGTTGTTGTCATTCACATACGAATTTGAACCATGCTTCTGGGTCTCCATCATCTATGTTTTTTTTCTTGGTCATTTGTCTGAGTTGATGGGACATTCGAGCTGGAAGCAACATCCTAAATGGTACAAGCAAGGTCGATATCATCAAACCCTACAAACAAATCAATATTAGAAAAATAATGATAGGAATATATCTCAATCATGCCAGCAATGTCTACATAATCGCTTAGATGAAACCTCGTGCATGATACTAGAAATTTATAATATATGGAAGATACTCTTCTACTACTTCCTAGTAAAACTCTTGTTTCTCTACTGAACTTCAACTCATGTAGTTAGATATTTTTTGGGAAACACTTGGTTTTAGATTTGCAATCGTAAAAAACAGTTGCACAAATAGTTGACATGTTTGAAAAAAACTCAAGCTTTGGAAGTGAAAGATTGAAGGTTTTATAGTTTTTTTTGGCTTCAATATCATAGTTAAATTAAATGGCTTTCAACTCACACATATTAATAGTTGCTGAAGATGTTAATGCACCACTATTTCACTTGTTTTCTGAACAAATGCTTGAATTCTGCATTAAATGACCTCTAAAAAGTAGCTAAAACAGTATATTATTTTTGTAATAAATTACATCTAAAAAGTAGCTGAAACGATGCATTATTGCTGCAATAAATGACCTATGAAAAGTATTTGAATAAGTGAATAATTTGGTCTGGTTAAAATACATATTTTTTATGATTTGAAGTGACAATTAAACAATGAAAAGTTTTTTTATTTGAGTTGATATATCACTAAGAAGTTGCAAAAGATGATAATGCAACATTATTTTCACCCGTTTTCTGAATAGTTGCTTGAATTCTGCATTAAATTGCATTTGAAAAGTAGGTGAAACGATGTATTATTGCTGCAATAAATGACCTCTGAAAAGTAGCTGAAACGATGTATTAATTGAGCATCGAAAAGTAGTTGAAGCAGTGAATAATGTGGCTTGGTTAAACTACACTTTTTTATGATTTGAAGTGACAATTCAACACTGAAATTTTTTTCTGATTTGAGTTGATATATCACTGAGAAGTTGCAGAAGATGATAATGCAACACTATTTTGACCCGTTTTCTGAATAGTTTCTTGAATTATGCATTAAATGACATCTGAAAAGTAGTTGAAACGGTGCATTATTGTTGCAATAAATGACATCTAAAATGTAGCTGAAAGATTGAAGATTGAGATGACATTTCACTGGAGAGTTGTTGGATGGTAATTATTGAGGGTATTTGTTTTAAATTGGCTCAGTTCTAATGAATCTTCACAAGCCTTGTTATTTTGTTGCAATTGTTTTGAACAAGAAAAAATCAATCTCTCTCTGAAGATATGGCAAACAAGTTTTTCGTAATCATCCACCCAAATGGCCAAGTATAAAGTTGAAGATGGTGTTTAATTCATGTCACAGAGTCCCGTGAACATGATGTTCACGACAAATATAACTCATGGGAAAATGAATATGAAAATCAAAACCAAAATCAGAGTTTTAGTTTCAAGTTTGAGTTATCGACACATCATTTCAGAGACTCCGCTGAAATATAGAGTAATCATATTCGATGATGATGACGATGTAGTTGTTATGGTTTATCTTCACCAATCTTTCAGTAATTTAATGATTGAGATTATTGTCGAAAGTGTAGATATTCTTACTTACTCAAATATTGCACCGGTGACCGCAGAAGTAAGACCATTATATAACATCGTCGGGTGATTTGGTGAAATCATTAATGATTTTAGCGAGGATGATGAAACTTTTGTTCCGCTTACGATGATCGATGACACACCAATAATTGATGAATCTGATATCGCTGAGGTTGCGTCAGATGGATAAGCCTTTGACATAGAGGTTGTGTCTGGGAGGTAATTGTTTCTCGTGGACAAGCAATGCAAAATTCTCCGCTAGTTTAGGTATATCCACCA